TCCTCCTTTTCATAAGACAGTATGTCAACGGAACACCCTCAACCCAGCCCCTTATTACACTTGTCTGATGACAGAGAGCCTCCTAGTTATCTCTGTGGTGCAAGAAGTGTCCATGCCAGAAGAGAATTTAGGAAGGACATTCCTGCCCAGAGCCTGCCTCAGTGCTGCCTGTTGCTGGGTCTTACCTCACTAGGGAAAAGGGGCAATTCCGGGCTGCTTATGAAGTCACCTGGGTCATGGTTTCAGAGTGTCTTTCTTCTTCTACTGCTTCCAGGTACACAGCTCCATATCTGTTGCCTGAGTCTTAAATGCTTCTGTTTGGCTACTGTCCTGACAGTAAATTCAATAAATGATTCAGACACAGAACCAGGATAAAATGACGGTGATCGGTGCTCAAACTGGAGATCAGCTCTCTACAAGCCAGCCTCGCCTTTAAGGGCATCCAACAACAGTGGTGAGGATCTAGGCAGTCCCTGATGATCTCTCCTAGAGCTCAACCACCTCCAACAACACCAAAGACACACACACACACACACACACACACACACACACACAGAAAAAGATGGACTATCCTGAAGACACAGGAAAAAGTAGCCATCAGAGTGTAAAATGCCACAGCTGCTGGGGAAAATGGTCTGGCAGTTTCTTAGAAAGTGAAGCACGGAACTATCCTATGACCCAGCAATTCCACTCCTAGGTGTATGCCCAAGAGGACCAAAAACATGCGTTCACACAGAAACTTCTACATGAATGTTCACAGCAGCATGACCTGTAATAGCCAAAGAGTGGAAACCACCCAAGTGCTATCCACGGACTCTGCCCTGCAGACTCAGACTAGCAGACACAAGACCACAAACAAGTCAAGGGACAGAACTGGCACCTTCTCCTTCCACAGGCACAACCACTCAAGCCTAGGGTTAGCACAGACCTCAGTCACCACGTGGGGTCTGAGACACTCCTCAGAAGATGAAACCGAGGGTCACGGACACAAGAACACAGGGCTGGTCAGAGGCAGAAGCTGAACTGGCCGCTGGGCCTCAACTCCCAGCCCATCTCTTTCCCACATTGCCTGCCTGCAGTAGTGCGAGTATGTGGGAAGACAGGGAGAAGTGATGGTCGCGGACACAAGGGTGCTCTGCTATCAAGTCTCGGGAGCTCTTATGTCCATGACACAGGTGAGTTTACTGTATGTAAATTTTAACTTTTTGTAAGTTTTTATCTCAATTCCAGGTAGCTAACATACAGTGTAATATTAGTTTCAGGTGTGCAATGTAGTGATTGGACTTCCGTACATCACCCGGTGCTCATCAGGACAAGCGCACTCCTGACTCCCCACCCCCATTTCCTCTATCCCCCGGCCCACCTCCCCCTCCAGTGACCACCAGTGTAGTGTGTTGTCTAGAGTTAAGAGTCTGTTCCTTGGTTTCTCTCTCTCTCTCTCTTTTTCCCCTTTTCTTGTTTGTTTTGTTTCTTAAATTCCACATGAGTGAGATTATACAGTATTTTCTTTCTCTGACTGACTTATTTAACTTTGCATTGATATTCTCTAGCTCCATCTATGTCATTGCAAATGGCAAGATTTCATTCTTTTTTATGGCCAAGTAATATTCCATTGTGACTATATACCACATCTTTATCCATTCATCAGTCGATGGACACTTGGGCTGTTTCCATAATTTAGCTATTGTAGATAATGCTGCCACAAATACAGGAGTGCACATATCTTTTCAAGTTAGTGATTTCATATCCTTTGGGTAAATACCCAATAGTGCAATTGCTAGATCGTAGAAGAGTTCTATTTTTAACTTTTGGAGGTATCTCCATACTGTTTTCCAGAGTGGCTGCACCAGTTTGCATTCCCACCAGCAGTGCATGAGGGTTCCTTTTTCTCCGCATCCTCGCCAACACTTGTTGTTTCCTGTGTTGTTAATTTTAGCCATTCTGACAGGTGTGGGGTGATAGCTCATTGTAGTTTTGATTTGTTTTTCCCTGATGATGAGTGATGTTGAGCATCTTTTCATGTGTCTATTGGCCATCTGGATGTCTTCTTTGAAGAAATGTCTGTTGATGTCTTCTGCCCATTTTCAACTGGATTATTTGTGTTTTGGGTGTTGAGTTGTATCTGTCCTTTACATATTTTGGATACTAACCCTTTATCAGATATGTTACTTGCAAATATCTTTTCCCATTCCGTAGGTTGCCTTTCAGTTTGTCAGTATTTCCTTTACTGTGCAAAAGCTTTTTATTTTGATGAAATCCCAGTAGTTTATTTTTGCTTTTATTTCCCTTGCCTCAGGAAACCTATCTAGAAAGAAGTTGCTTTGGCCAAGGTCAAAGAGGTTACTGCTTGTGTTCTCCTCCAGGATTTTGATGGTTTCAGGTCTCACATTTAGGTCTTTCATCCATTCTAAATTTATTTTTGTGTATGGTGTAAGAAAGTGGTCCAGTTTCATCCTTTTGCATGTTGCTGTCCAGTTTTCCCAACACCATTTTGTTGAAGAAACAGGTTTTTTTTTTTCCACTGGATAGTCTTTCCTGCTCTGTCAAAGATTAAGTGACCATACAATTTTGGGTTCATTTCTGGGTTTTCTATTCTGTTCTATTGAGCTATGTGTCTATTTTGTGCCAATCCCATACTGTTTTGATGACTACAGCTTTGAAATATAACTTGAAGTCAGAATTGTGATGCTTTTTTTTTTTCAAGGTTGCTTTGGCTATTTGGGGTCTTTTGTGGGTCCAGAAAATTTTAGGATTGTTTGTTCTAGCTCTGTGAAAAATGTTGTGATACTCTATAAAGAAAACCTGAAAGATTCCACTAAAAAACTGCTAGAACTGATAAGCAAATTCAGTTAAGTCACAGGATACAAAATCAATGTATAGAAATCTATTGCATTTCTCTACACCAATAACGAAGCAGCAGAAAGAGAAATTAAGGATCAATCCCATTTACAACTGCACCAAAAACAATAAGACACCCCGGAATAGGGGCACCTGGGTGGCTCAGATCATTAGGTGCATCTGCCTTTGGTTCAGGTCATGATCGCAGGGTCCTGAGATCGAGCCCCAAGTCAGGCTCCCAGCTCAGCAGGAAGTCAGCTTCTCTCTCTCCCTCTGCCTCTCCCCCTGCTTGTGCTCTGTCTCTCTCAATGAATAAATAAAATCTTAAAAGAAAAAAAAAGACACCTAGGAATAAACCCAACCAAAGAGGTAAAAGACCCGTATTCTGAAAACCATAAAACACTGATGAAAAAAATTGAAGATGACACAAAGAAATGGAAAGGCATTCCATACTCATGGACTGGAAGAACAAATATTGTTAATATGTCTCTACTACCCAAAGCAATCTACACATTTAAGGTAATCCCTATCAAAATACCAACTATATGTAAATTTTTTAAAAAAAGAATCCTTGTTTGGGGCACCTGGGTGGCTGAGTCGGTTAAGCGTCTGCCTTTGGCTCAGGTCACGATCCCAGAGTCCTGGGATCGAGTCCCTGCTCAGCAGGGAGTCTGCTTCTCCCTCTGCCTCTGCTGTTCCCCCTGCTTGTGCGCTGTCAATTAAATAAAATCTTTTAAAAAAAAGAATCCTTGTTTTAGAAGGCAGAGGATCTATGTGACAGCCAACCCAAAGTCTCTACTGTACTGCCTACTCCCCATTGGACAGAGTCTTGGTATTGGAGATAGGTGAGACCCCACAGTCTCTGTGAAGCAGCACTTTAATAAAGTACCACCATAGTAAGTAATTTTCCCAATAAAATTCACAACACAGAAGTGAAAAATTTAAGTACACACTTTCCAACTCTTTGTGAGTTCCCACGTAAGCCACTCCAGGTAGCTATAAACAAGGCCAAACTGAGTTCGTATTATTGGACAACATGGCTGCTTTACCTGCTGGCCAACCACCTCACCCCCACGCACCATACAGCAATTCAAGCGGCTCAGATTCACAGCTTAGCAGAATGACAAATCACATTCTTCACAGGGCTCTGGGGTCCCCAGCAAACAGCAGAGAATTCAATCACCAAGTCTGCAAATGCCTTCTGTTTTAAAAAAGACCTTAAAACAATTTAAAAAGTGGAGCAATGCAAGCCCTCTCCACCTGAAGATGCCCTGTCAGAAGCATGCCATGCAATCCTGGAGAAGGGCCAGGCTAAACCAGGACTTGCCCAGACACCGTCAGAATCTCAATATCCACCTCAAAGAAGTATCACCAATTTTTAAGGGATTATGAAGAAAATGTCTACACGGGATCTACCTTATTAGGATTTCAGTAAATGAAGGATAATGCCATGAGGAAAAATAAGATTTCCTCTCTCTCTAATAGCAGAGAATTACCCTAAGAGTGGCACAAGACAGAGCAGAAAGGAAAGAGCAATGGGACAGAGCAAATACATAGAGTAAATCTAACAGTCACGGCAATAGACCTAACTACTTCACTGACATCAGAACCATAATACTCACTAGTATCTACCACCTCCCACTATACTGATAGGATTTATTAATAATCTAGTCATTTAGCCTTATCCCTGACAGCAGTTTTGCCATAGAATTCTATCCTAGAAAAACTGTCATCTTTGAGAGACAATTTAGGGTTTTGGAATTTTTTTAATTATTGTACCAAAACAATAGCAAGAGCTTCGCTTACGCTTAAGGCTTCTACTTTAGCTAAAAGTTCGTAAAATGATTCCAATAACAAGTAACTAAACATATTTTTGTTTTGACTTCCTTCCATGCACAGAACTGAACAGAACAGGCAAACCCATCCTGTTTCCTAGATCAGTCTTTTTACTGACCGACGCTTATCAGATTCGCCTGGGGGGGGGGTGCCCCACAACACACACACCTGGTACCACCCCAGGCCCACAAGATCAGGTTCTCTAGGGTAAGAACCACAGGACACTGAAAAAGTTCCAGGAGACGTTCCTGCATACACACCCCCAGCTATAATCACCACTCCAGACACACGGCTAACAGTCACTGCATCTCAAAAGAATGACTTACTTGTTACGATCCCAGCCAAAGCAAACACAAACTGATTTTCATCGGAATCAAGCTCCTTGACATCCCCATCCAGTGACTTCACAAAACTCTCCATTGTTTGACCAGTGATGTTGAAAAACTTCAAAGCTTTATCCTGAAAGTTTGGAAAGGAAAGTATCACACCCCCGCACAAATACTGGTACAAAACATTACAAGAGTACAAAGGCACAAAAGGAAGACTCTGTGTTAATGACAGAAGCAGTATTTAAAAGTCTGCTCCCTCATTCCAAGTTCCCATATGGAAAAGAACAGAAAAAGGAAATTTGGAATCTGTAGAAAAATTACCCTGCAGACTGATGGAAGGAGCAAAATAAAATATATGTGAGGGAACAGCACAAGTTTACAGTGGTGGCAGTATCAGGATGGGTTCATCCAAAATCCACTAGGAATATGCTAGAAAAATACATTCTTTGTTGATTCCAGGCATGAAGACACAGGTTTCAACCATTGGAGAACGGAGTTTCAAACAAAATCTTAACAGAAACGTCAACATGTCAACAGACGAAGGCAGCGAGCAGGCTTGTTGGGCACTTTAAATCTTCGTTACTTAGCAGAAGTCCCTTCAAGCACACAGGACTTTTGAAACGCTTCCCGGGGGTGCTAAGAGTTCTAAGGGATAACCTCAAAGCCGACACATTTCCCAACGGCACAAGGCAACGTCATCGGCTGATAGATGTTCTGAGCCTGGGTTGTGGGGATGATTACACAACTCTGGAAATGAGCTAAAACCACTAAAATTGTACACTCACAAATGGGTAAATTTTATGTGTAAATTACACCTAAATAAAGCTCAATAAATGTTAAAATACAATTAATCTCCACTAAAGTCACACACAATTTTTGTTTCTCCAAGTCATAAGTAATGGATCGCTGGTCTCCTGTCGAAACCTCCCCCTGCATCTGTATTCCCATTCACAACCACACCCTCCTCCTAGAGTGCAGCCACAAGCCCCCTGGCACCACACCTGCCCTCCCCGCCCCTCACAGCAGGACGTGCCTGAGCCCTGAGCCCTGAAGGGCCTTCCGGTTAGTCCTCCTGTCTGGCTCCCACGCCCACCCCGCCTCCGTCTACCTCACTCACAGGACAGTCTTCCCCAAGTCTCTTGCCCCACCATTCTTTTACTCAAAACCCCAGGAATCCAGTCTTACCACCTACTGGGTGAAATCAGCAACCTGGCTGCTGAGGCCTTCCAAAATCACACTGCATCCTACTTCTGCAGGGTTATCTCCCCAAGACTTTACTGCACTGACCCTCTACTGTGTGTCCACTGACCCACGCATGGCCCCCAACACTAACTTCAGGCTTCTCAGCCCGTGCCTCTGATGATGCCACTCCTCTCCCCTCCCCATTATCTGCCCTGCCACCTACTCGAGTTCATCAAAGCCCATGTCAAAGCTCTCTTCCTCCGGGAAGTTTCTGAGTGTGTGGGAGGGTGTGTGCGTACTATTAACATACGTAAATACATAAATAACATGTAACTTTCAACAAATCAAATATCATGTTACTCATGGGATAACCTACATAGAAGCACTTAAACTCTGTTAAATGTGTATAGGTGTCAGGGAACAATACTGAAGTGGTACTATCTCCACAAGCACCACACAGATTCTGGGAAAGGAGGGGTCTTACTTCACTCATTTCACACACCCCTAGAGCACCAGCTTACATCAGACCCTACACACTGCTGGATGAATGAACATAAGACATGGTCTTCATCTGTAAGCTCCTTAGTAGATACTCTGTACCCTCTGGGTTCCATCAACACTGATGGACAATATCCAGGGAGCCCAGTGGTCATGCTTACTCCTCCCAGAATGGCTTTGACGACGTCCTCACTGCTGGAGACGCCCCACAAAAGGGTGCAGGCTGCTGCTCCCATTTCCGTACAGTATTCTGCCTGCTGCAGGAGTTGCTGCTTTGCTTCATTCAGCTGCTGTCGAAGAGCAAGTTTCTCCTAAAGTCAAAACAGAATAAAATCAGCAAAATGAATAGCATTCAACCTTGAAATAACTCTATTGTGTTTCTCATTCAAAGATTTAAAAAAAAAAAGTACACAGAATTACAGAAAACAGTGGGCAAATGAAAACTGGTCCTTAGACAGCCATAATCTAGATCTTTTAAAACTTCAGAGGAAAAATAACACTCTCAAAAAAGAACATACTGCTGTATTAGAGTTTACAAATATTGCCAAAGACCTGAATTCATCTTGAATTCAAAATGAAGGCACCTCAGGTCCCAAGTGGCTATACCCAGAACACCGATGGGGGCACCTGAACAAAGTAACAACTGAACACAGCAGTCCACAGAGCACCATTTCTAGTAGAAGAGGCTGCCCGCCCCCGCCCCAGATGGCTCACTCCACTGGAAATACACCAAATGACAGAGCTAAGCCCAGCTAGGACAGATGGGGCAGAGACAGAGAGAAGTGGGAAGGAGGGCCTCCCGGGCATGCTGCACAGGGCAAGCTGAGTGCCAGCATGACAGGAAGACTGAGGTCGGTGGGGCTTCTGAAGAGCACCACTGGAAAATCTCAGCCAGGGCTCTTAACAGTGAATTGTCCTCCTGATAGTCCCTTAGACCACACAAACAAGCCTAAAGCCTCGTTCCAGGTGGCTCTTGGGTAGTATGGGGCTTTCCGACCTCCCCCGACCTCCACCACTGGTTGCACTATTGTTGTTACCTGAAGCTCCCTCAAAAAGTGAGAGCGTTTCCTTACTTAACAAGAGATAAACTTAAGAAATATAGAAACCTGGTGGCTCAATCAGTTGAGTGTCCAACTCTTGATTTTGGCTCAGTTTGTGATCTCAGGGTGGTGGGATCGAGCCTCGTGTCAGGCTCCACGCTCAGCCGGGGGTCTGCTTCCCTCTCCCTCTGTCCCTCTCCCCATTTGCATGCACACACACTCTCTCTCAAATAAATAAATCTTTTTAAAAAGTTAAAGTATTCTAGGGTGCCTGGGTGGCTCAGATGGTTAAGCGTCTGCCTTCG